CGTAGAGTAAAAGTGCTGGGTGTCCCCTCTTGTCACCGAACCGGCTGGCCGTGCCGTGCGCTGCCGGGGGAGGGGCAGACGACACCTGCAGCCAGGCCTGTGTGGGGTCGGCCCCGCCCGCCCGCCCGCCCCCTGCCCTGCGCACGGCGGCGGCGACACTCACCCTTCCTGGCTGCAGGAGGTCCCCCTGGCCCCGGACGCTGTGCTCGATGTGGACCAGCCTCTGCAGGTTTTCCTGCGGGGGGAGCGGGGCAGGAGGGAGGCGGTCAGGGCCCCTCCTGGGGCTCTCCTCTGCCCCGCACGGAGTGGCCCCGCTTCCTCGTTAGAGAAAACGCAGCCTGGAAAGGTCTGCCCCCAAATCCGGCCTCTTGCAAGAGGCAGGACCGGGACCCGGGCCCGGGCGGGCGGGACGCCAGGGCCGTGGGCTGTCCGCGGTCAGGCCGGTCCCCCCGGGTCTGGGGCCTGACAACACCCCGTGTTTCCGTGTGCCGTGGGGACGGCCCACCTGGCCTCTCTGTGCCATCTGACACCCGTCTGTCTCTGGGCCACCGCGCCTGCCCACTGGCCCCGTGTCCTCCGCGAGGCCTGGAGCGTCCGGACTTGGGCAACCCGGGACCCAAGGCTGGGGTCAGGCTGTCCTGGCCTGCGGGCCGGGTGGGGAACGGCGGCCAGGAAAATGCATCGCCTGGCGGGAGACGGGACCCAAGCCCTTTGCAGCCTCACGGTTAGAGAAACAAGTGTCTGAGATTCCCCCCGTCGCGCTCTCACCGGGTTACGCAAAATACGCAAAGTGACAAGGCTCTGTCTCCTCGGCGCGGCACCCGACCGTCCCAGAGACAAAGCACCCACCTCGCGGGCAGGTGCCCCTTGAACCTACGCAGGGGCAGGGTCTAAGGTCACCTCACAGGGAGAAAGTCACGTGCAGAGAACTCGCCTGGATAAGTCGTCTCCGTGACCCACGTTTGGGGCCACAAAATCCTGCACGGTAAAGAACAAGTAGCGGTCGTTCTGGTTCCAGTTGTGACGCAGAAAGCTGCAGAGAACGCCGCTCTCGTCGGCTGTGACACAGGAAAGCGTCACTTTCTGCATCTCGCGAGACCGCCGAGGAAACCCGAGGGAAGCAAACTCCGAGCCCCTCCGCGGAGAAACGGGACGTGGGGACGGTCGCGCCTTCGGCGGCGCAGAGAAGGGACGGTGCCGGCGCAGAGGACGGCAAGAAGAAAGCCGCTAAGATGTTGACGCATTCTTAAGGGTCAAGGGTGGACCGCGGGACAGTTTGGAGGAGCAGGAGCCACAGGCACGAGGGACCCGGCTCCGCTGGGTGCTCGAAAGCGAGGCGGGGTCAGGGCAGGGCCCACGAGGACCCCGCTTGGATGGTGAGGACGCGGACAGGCCTCTCTCGCGCAGGACTGCGCCCTCCTGCCCCAGAGCCCGGCACGGAGCCACTGCTGGGGACAAGGGTACAAGCAAGGGCTGCCTGCCCCCCGGAGAGGACTGGGGGTGACCCCGGAGCCGGGAACCACGCAGAGGCCACGCCCCGCCGGGGACGGCAGAGAGCTGTCCACAGATCTAAGGCTGCTGAGCAGGGGACAGGCGGGGACGCGGAGGGAGCCCGGCCCACGGGCCCCGCGTCAGACGGAGGCTCGTGCAGGAGGACAGACAGCTCAGCGGCAAGTAACGAGGGTAACGCTGAAAGCTGAGCACGGAGCAGGAGTAAGAGACAAGCTCTCCGGGAATAAACACTGCGCAACGCCCGGCACTTGGCCAGAAATTACTAGAAACACAAAAACGCAAAGACGAAGAGTCCCAAACATCTTCAAAGCATCCCATGAAGCCAGCTAATTTCTTTCTATTTTTTTAGTAGAGACGGGGTCTCGCTATGTTGCCCAGGCTGGTCTCGAACTCCTGACCTCGAGCGATCCTCCTGCCTTAGCCTCCCGAGTAGCTGGGACTACAGGCACGCGCCACCATGCCCGGCTAGTTTTTTCTATAGATATATTTTTAGCTGTCCAGATAATTTCTTTCTGTTTTTAGTAGAGACGGGGGTCTCGCTCTTGCTCAGGCTGGTCTCGAACTCCTGACCTCGAGCGATCCTCCCGCCTCGGCCTCCCAGAGTGCTGGGATCACAGGCGTGAGCCACTGTGCCCAGCTAATTTTTTCTATTTTTAATTGTTTGGCCAATTTCTTTCTATTTTTTTATTTTAGTAGAGACGGGATCTAGCTCTTGCTCAGGCTGGTCTCGAACTCCTGGCCTCGAGCGATCCTCCCGCCTCGGCCTCCCAAGTAGCTGGGATCACAGGCGTGAGCCACCACGCCCAGCCCGCGAGCAGAAAAATTCTAAACAATCTCTGCCCTCGAGAGGAGGAGACAGAATGCCCCTCTCTAGGGTGGGCTGCACAGAATGATCTGGAGACAGGCGGGGGGTCGGCTAGGGGGTCCGGGAGAAAAACCGCACAGTGGAGAAACCGCGGCCGGGTGATCTCGTCCACACCGACAGTGACGAGTCACGGGGACAGCACGCGCCCTCCGTATGACGCAGGGACAATGGCCCTTGGCCCCTGTGATCTCCTCCCCGAATGATCAGGAACCCGGGGTCGCCGTGAGAAAACATCGCGGGTTTGGAGCAGAGCGGCACCCGCCGTCCGCCTGGCCAGCGCGCTCCAAAGCTGTCGCTGTCGCCAAAAAGCAGGAAAGTCTGAGAAACCAACGCGGTCAAAGAATCACAGGAACGTGTGAGGCGGCGTCCAGGGCGGGGCTCTGGGAACAAGGAATTAGGCAAAAACGGAGCCAATCTCAACGAACCAAGTCCATGGTCTCTAACTAATCTTTCTATATCGATATTGCTTCTTTAACGTAATAAATGCACCGCACTAACGTAAGACGCTGTATTATAATCTAATCTAATCTAAGATGTCATATTAACATGGTGCATTTATTAGAGGAAACTGTATACAAGATGCACGCGAGCCCTGTGCTAGTCCCCGAGTTTTTTCTATCAATTTGAAACTGTTCTAAAAAGTCAAGTCTGTCCAGGAGGCAGAGCGGCGGCCGCCGGGGGCGGGAGGAGGTGGGAACGGAAGCGGGTGTTTAGTGGGGACAGAGTTTCAGTTTGGGAAGACGGAAGGTTCTGGAAACGGATGGTGCTGAGGGTTGCACGAGAAGGTGGGTGTAGCTGAGGCCTCTGAACTGGACACTCAAGAGATGGTTCAAATGGTAACTGTCCCTGTGGCTCTGGTCCCCCCAGCACCGCACCAGGCCTGAGTCCCACACACGCCGCCTCCCCTCCTCGTCTGCCCCGACGATGCGCCGCGAGGACCCCGTCACCTCCCGTCCACGCCCACACGGGACGTGACCGCTTCCCTGCTGAGCTGGGACTCAGCCTCAGAATCATGCTTAACACAGC